AGGAATGCTTTGGAGGTGCTCCTTCCCCACTGCAGAGGCTTGGAGAGCTTCTGTCGTACCTCTGAGAGACCCTCCTGGGCTTCCCACCAGCTGCTGTCCCGGGCCCCCCTCTGCCTGGGGCTGGTGCTGGTGGGGTGGCACTTGCCACAGGACATTGCAGGAGGGCACCGGTGCGTGCGTGAGGTGGTGCCGGGGTGACTCTGACCCAGCACAGAGGTGTGCTCACTCTTCTGGCAAGGAATGGCAGCACGATGCTAAGTCATGCCCAGTATAGGAACGGGAGGCAAGAAGACCAGGCTTGAGACCACCCTGTGAACTGTGGGAACCTCTGTTGTCTCAGCTTAAGGCATGTGAGGGCTGAGCACACCCAAAAGCTGCCCTTGGTTCCCCTTCCTGGGGATCGGGGTTGCCAGCGGGCACCCTGAGTACAGGGCAGGCCAGAGTCCATGACAGTGGGCATGAGTAAAGTGTGGAGGTGTGTACTTTAGTACTGCCTTTCACCTGGCTGCTGTAACCATGGGATGAGAGAAGCACTCTTAGCTTCTGTGCCACCCACCAAGGTCTCCTCTGGGTTACTAGACTCTTGCCCTGTTGCTTTCCAGCTAAATGTTTCTCTCTTAGGTGCTAAGAGGCTCAAAGCTAAGTAAAAAGGGCTGAATTTAGCCCTGTTGGGTGGATTTGCACCAGAACAGTCCTCCCTCAGGCAGACAAGAAAATACTATGAGCACAGAGTCTTGTCAGGGCAATACTTATTTTTGATTGATGCCTTTTTTTGATAGTCACCATTGTTTTTGTGATGTCTCATGTTTGTTCTGATGCGCTGCAATGGATGCTGCTTGTACGGTCCTGAGTTCTACTTGGTGCCTACTTGGAAAGTCAGCAATTTTTCTGAATGTGTGTCATGGAGCATTCAAATCTCAGATTTTTATGCTGCAGAGGGTGTTTCAGTTCTGGAAAATGAGCTGACAGCGAGACCTAAGAAATAACAGGAAGTGTTTGGCTCTGGTGATACTTTCTGCAACCCTTCTTGGTTCTTCTTTCGTAGACACATCTACCAGTGAGTCACACAAGATGTAGTGTTTTTTCCCATTCTTGTTAAGGGGAATGAGACGAGAGGGCTGACGTGCTGAGCTGTGCTCTGTAAGGACGCTGGCTTGTCCTCCCCGGTTTGGGAGGCACGGCTTATGCTGCCTGGGTGTTAGCAGGGATCAGTTTTGCTTGGTGACGTGCTGCAGAGCCAGCACTGAAGGCATGGGAGGAAAGTGCAGTCCTGTGATCCAAGCAGGTCTGTAGTCGTGCTGTGGTCAGTGCTTGCCGGTTGTGCAGTCTGAGTAGGCACCCAAAAGAGCAATGGTTGATTGTATAGAATATAAAAATCTTCTATCCCAGTCTTAATCTGCTTGACATCGGCAGCACTTGCTGCCCAAACTTGGCCTTTCTAGTAAGGTATACAAGACCTGCTTGTATCTCAGCTGGGCATTAGCCAGTCCAGAGGGAGGCTCTCTTGCTTCTGGCACAGGCAGTGCTGGAGCCAGTTAGATAATTTCATTTCTAAAATAAAACCTTCAGTCTGTAAAAGGTCAAGTAGGAGACCACGGCTTGTTCAAACGTCTTTCTTGGAATGCTTGCCAAAATGATGCCATGGGGGAAAAGAGACCAATTTCATCCTTATTCTGCAACAGATCGTCAGGCTGTGATACAGAGACAAACCCCAGCTGGGACTGCGTTGCCCATCAGCTCCCTTCTTCATTCTGACAGACAGGGCATCACCTCCTCAGCCATGCCGAAACCTTGCAGAAGGCTTAAGAAATGCTGGGTTTGTCTTTCAAACCGTAGTCCTCCATGGGGTGTGCTACGTGTGACAGGCAGGAGCAGAGCTCAGCTGGGCGAGCGAGGTGCTCCACCAACACTCCTCGCAGGTGCCGGCTGTGCGGCGAGCGGGCTGGCATGGCTGTCGCCTTCTGATCCCCTCACCCTGGGCCAGAGGGACCGAGGGGCTTGTTCATGTGCTGCGAGTGATAATGTTAAGAGGTTGGGCCTTAGACTTTTGGGTAAGAAAGATCAGTTTCTAGTAGCTATCAAGCTTGTGAACTAACCCTATCTTGTGCTGTGGGAAGAAAGATGAGTTAATTGAAGGAGAGCACAGTAAGAGGCCCTATGACAGCGAAGTGGCCTCCTGGCATCCTCTCCCACCCTCATCTTGGAGGAAGGATGCCAAATCCAGCTGTCTCCTCACCCTCTCCCCCAGCAAAGTGATCCTTTCCTCCCTGCAGATGGAAGTTTATGAAAGTGCCTTTTCCCATCCTTGCAGCTCGGGCTGCTGCCTTGAGCCACAGATCAGCAGAGGCCATGGGAGCGCTTCCCTCTGTCAGGGATGCAGCTTTCGCCTTTACGCTTGCAGAGGGTCGCCAGAGCAGCTGCTCAAGGGGCCTCTGATGCTCACCCCAAACTGAAATCCCCCTCTGCTCCAGTGCTGGAGAGGGGGAGAGCTGCAGCTCTGTGGGCAGAGGGTGAAGTCACTGTCCCAGCACAGCTGGGGCTGATTTGCCATAGCTGGGCTCCAGGC